TCAAAATTTTCTGGTATAATAAAGTCAATTTCATTAACAGGAATCGAAGAATAAGAGTTAGGAGAATATTGATTAAGGACTGGAGGAGATGTCACCGTATTTGGAGATTGTTCACTGGATTCATTCACTTGAACGAGTTGATACTGGGGTCTCATTTCTTGCACTTCAGCTTCCTTTTCAACTGCATTTTTAGATCCGTTTCCTTGAAACTCTTACAGTTTCATGTCATTTTACTGGATAATTGCACTCTTACCTTTTTCAAGGTTGATATTAGTATGTGAGGGCAATTCTTCAAGGTGAGAAGCTAATCGCGTTATCTTGGATGACAAAAGATGTATTTGATCCACCATCCTGGATGTCAATAGTTGAACTTGATTCGCCATCGCTTGTGTCTCCTGCTGAATTTGATATGCATTAGCAGCTAGTAATTCCATCATCTCTTCAAGAGACATACCTGACACGGATGATGGTTGTTGAGACTCTTGCTGTTGAAAATTCATTGGCACGGTCGCATAATTAAAATTGAAATTGTCCCACCATTCTTGATCATATCCGTTTGAATAAGGATCATACCACGTTTTATATTAAGGTGAGGAATCTCCAAAGGTATCGATTGGGGCACTTAGATTATCTTGAAATGCGGGGCATGGGTCGGTTGAATAACCTGAGACAAAATAATTTTCACAATTTGCAACAGGCATTGATCATGAGAAAAAACACGAGTCTTATAACCCCATTCAGGAATAAAGTCCAGTCTATCATCAAAATACGGAATGTTAGCAGCCATAAACTATAAAAAAAAAAAAGAAAAATAAATAAAAAAAATGAAGACAAGATGAACTAAAAAAGAAACAAATTAATCTGGCATCAGTCCCCGACAACGGCGCCAAAAATTGACAGATTGTCAACCTGCGCAATAATAAAAACCTGCTCAAACTAAAAGTGATTTCTGTAGATAGCGGTGAGCAGGGTCGAATCCACAGGGATTGGGAGTAATTGTTTCTTTTCAAATTTACAGTGACAAGGGGGTGTTTTTATATCAGGGGTGACAATTTAACCAATTCAACTAAAAGTAAAATAATAAAAATAAAACAGCCAACTAGAAATTAAATAACAATTTACTAAAATCAAATGAGTGATAATTAAGGATCTAGCCAAGAAATAACTTCAGCAATGGTTCACCTAATTGATCATCGATGCACAAGCAATTCCAATTATTTATTAATAAATAGGTTATAACTGCCAACAAGCGATGACAGTCAACTCCTCTTTACTGTATCAGTGATTAAGGTACGCCCATTAACCACTACTCTAATTGAGAAATAACCTTAGGTACGCCCGTAAGATTTAATTTTTCAATTGTCTTACATATTAGAGGAGCCCTATTCTAACCAAATAACGCACTATCAGGGTTATTTCAGATTAACCCGCGTATCTCCCTGACACGAATCTAATCGTGCCAGTTGTCACTATTTCAAGGCAATTAAACAATTACGGATTTAATGCCTTAATTCACAATAGATTATCAAGTTAAATAATTATCTGGATTCAAGACAATCAATTAAGTAAATAATCATGAACACTGCAATCAAGGGATATGCAAATACCAATAAATAAAAAAAAAGATAAAATTAAATCGATCTCACAATTTTTAGGCGAATCAAAGCCTCCATTGCTCCTTGACTAGACAAAGAAAATTAGTTCATTCTTGGTGAACAAAGCCCACGCAAAATTGAAACAAGAGTTGTCTGATCATGCGAAGGAAGAAAAACAATCAAAAGCTACAAAAGGAAAAGTCAAAGGTTGATGCTTCATTCCTCCTGACATGCGCAGGGGGCAACCACAAAAGACGAAAGAAAAAAGTCAAAGAAAGCTAAAGGGAGTCTATTGTTTTTTCTTGTCATCACCAACGAGAGAACTACTACCAAAAGCTAAGAAAAGAAAAAAAACAAAGCTACTCTAATGCTTGGCTCCTGTGCAGCGGCCCCCTTGCGGAGAGGACGAAGCCTCTGGACGCCCCCCCCCAAGGTTTGTTTTCTTTTCCCTTTTTTAGTTGTTGTCTTCGGTCAAAATTATCAAAAAGGTCTTGCATCTTCTTGTTCTAAGAATGCCATTAATTGTCTGTTATTTAAACTCTTTCTCGATGACTGTCAAATTGGCCTTGATTATGATATTTTTGTTCTACTCCCTGAAATAAATGTAAATTAAGAAAAGTGAGTAGAATCTAATAATTAATTCACATCATATTAGGTAATAGGAAAAATTAATAATAAAATAAATGATAAAATTACAACCTATTAAGTGTTCACTTTTCATGGCATAGGTATATCTAAAGTCTTTGAATGAGATTAAGATTAAATTCAAAGATTGATTTATATTAAAATGCTATCAATGGTTTATACACGCCTATAGATCTGGATCCCTACTCCATGATATATTCCTAATTTTTGAACAAAGAAGTCATTCTTGGGGAAGGCGATGGTAAGCTTTGTTTTAAGCCAGAGACGTTGCATATCTTTTTGCAGTAATTGTTGTTATATATTAGGACAAGAACATTTCAGCCAACTCCATTTAAAGCGTAGATAGATTTCAGGCGGAAGCTGACCCAACAACTTTCGATTGGGCTTGAAGTTAGGACATCAAATCAAACACCCTTCAACTTCCATGACAAACGGATTAAAAAATGAAGCCCGACGGTATTTAAGGACAAAATTAATAATCATCTGACGAAACCTCAGGAAAAGCAAACTTGAACCCTTGTGAGCTGCGAGTTTGTGAGATCATCTTGGAGTAGTGGATTCATATTCAGCTTCACGTCCAACTAAGATAACATAAACAATGGAAGGATAACATTTCCTATTTTTCTCACTCCCGCTTTCACTGGGTGGAGGACTAAATTGACCATGACACGACATTGAAGCATCTCTTTTTCATGCATAAACGTCAAACACAAGATGTCCGAGGTCTAAGTAAACCCGATATTTGTTTGATTAAAATATCCATCCTTGAAAAGAACGAACGCAATTTGTTTGAAATCAAATGTTGTATCATATATATCACGTACGTCCAAGAAAGAATGATGGCAACTTTTTGAACCAAGAATATACAATAGTAACCATTTACACGGGCTAGATGGACTAGGTTTATGTGCTCCACTATGTGAGCTATAGAGTTATGAAAAATTGAAAATATATTATGATGGAAGAAAAGTTATAGTATACAATAGATGACAAAACAAAACTATAATAGTTATAGGTTTGTATGTCATGTTTTATATATTTTCCGTCATTAGTTTATATGATTGATGATCAGTTTATTGATAATACTAGCTTTTATTTTATCTCAAAAAAAAATACAACTATTAAACATACTACATATTCGATGTAAACGTGACCGTAAACCGCCACGTTTACTTGAGCATTTTTTTTTTTTAATACCATAAACTCGCCTTCCATTTCGAAATGAACTGTCTCTCTCAATCCCAAAATAATAGTCATTTTTCGTTCTTTTGTTTTTTTTTCTTGAATTAGTACAAAAGTTCAATTTTCTGATAATGAAACAAAATCTACATCATGTGAAAAATTGGAATACTACCATGCTCTCTCCGAGTGTCTTTTGTATGAACGTTAAATTTCTTCTAGTGGACATGCAAATTTTCTATCCGGTAAACAGACAAATTAGCTATCACATCCACAACTTCGGGACCTGCGACGGCAATGAAAGGGAGGAAAGAAACAAGGAACCTACTACTGTTACCATGTGTACGTATTTATTCCAATCCCGCAGATGTCTTTTCCGCATTCTCGTGAATGCTCCATCCTCATCCCCATCCATATCCCTGGCAACCAGGAAACAGCGGGCTGCAACTTGACGCCTCAGTTAAAGAAACCAGCAGCGACGAATCAGCGTACTAGTGGAGTGTTTGCTTGGCAAACATTTTCTCGAACCGTGTTCATCAAATCCGACAAGCGTCTGATGAAAAAACAACAAAGAAAGAAAGAAAAACAAACTTCAACAATTTTAGGCCTGAGAAGCTGGAACTGCCATACAGTTCGTTGAAACTTGATAGTATTAAAAGGGGTGGGGGATAATATGGCCAAAAACCAAAAACCACAAAAAAAAAAAAAAAAAAAACAAATTCATTGATGTATGTTGAAACTAAACAAAAGGCTTATTAGTTTTTTTGCCGATTGCTTCTGATAATAAATTCAAGATTTACAGCTCAACTGATTCTCGAAATTTCATCATTAAGAGGTAATGAATGAGAGAAATGAGCAATACCCTTTTTTTTTTTTTGTGCGTGACTACGTGGTTCTCATGCGAAGCTGATAGGCTTACTAGTTCGCCAATTGATTCTGCTAATAAATTCAAGAATTTCATCATTAAGAGGCAATGAATGAGTAATGAACCATACTTTTTCTTTTTCCTTTTTTTGGTGGTTCGCATGTGAAGCTGATTTTCAATTGCCTGTGGTGACAAGTTACCATTTTTACAAATCACAGTAAAGAATGGAACTATTACGAATTGATGAATTGCAAAGAATGGAACTATTGACGACCTCAGATTGAACGCCTGGAAAGCTCTTCAATTTTGCCATCCTATCTGGAAAAGTACAATTGGTGCCCTGATAACTTTCACAGCAAAGCACATGAATGACCTTAAGGCTCAAATCAACTTTGTATTAGTGGGGTAAAGATATTATTAAAGATTTGCGGAATCAATCTAATGGACTGATTAGTCCGGAATCCCATGATTATTAATAATCCTAAACCAAACAAGTCTTGGACCTTTTTGACCAAACAATTGTACACCCTACCATGCTTTGTCCACTGCAGATCAAATAGTACTTCGTTCCTTACTGGTTGTACCTTGTTACACACCAATTTAAGGAATAAAAAAACCCCTATCTAAGAACAAAGAAAATGCCTAAAAAACCCCCAAAACAAACCGACAGGGCCTTTGCTCTTGACTAATCTCAAGATTCCAACTCTTTTCTTCTCATCTCACTTCTCATTCCATTTAAAAAACCTCCGTTTCCCTTTCTCCTCCTCCATATTTATGCACCAACAAATATATGAAGTGTCACGTACTTTATTTGTTCTGAATTTCTAAAATCTTGAATTTAGGAATTCACAAATTCCAACACCACATGCCAATCATCCAAGAAATCTCAGGAAACTACCACCGGCACCCCCGTGAACATGGCCAGAACGACCCTCAATCACCAGCGGCGCCACCTCGTCAATTGCATCAAAGTCCAAAACGAAAGATAGATTCGGCCCCAAGAAAGCTCCTTTTTCTCTTCCTCAAATGGATCATCATGACATTCATCCTGTCTTTGTTACTGATCTTTGTAGGCTTCGCTGCCCTGGTCCTCCTTCACATCCTCCTCACGACCGCAGTGGTCCACCGCCACCGCCACCGCCGACGCCGGCAAACCCGCCGATCTTTTTCCCGCAGCTCCTCATTATATTCCATGCAAGAGCAAGACCTCTATGACCTCCTCCCGCACCTTAACTACTCTGCATCAGAACAGACCACAATGGATTGTGCAATTTGCTTGGAGAGTTTCAAGGAGGGAGAGCTTAGCCGGAAGCTGCCGGATTGTAACCATTTATTTCACCTGAATTGTGTGGATAATTGGCTTACGAAAAAGCCCAACTGCCCTGTTTGTCGAACCCGGGTTCAGCTCCATTCAGGGGCTTCTAGGTCAAGAGACAGTGATGATGACGGGAAGTTTTGGTGGCCTGTTGGGGCCTGAAGATGGCAATGCTGGGATTTTGGATTTTAATGAAGGAAATAATTAAGGTACGTGAAGAAGAAATATATTAGAGAGGCTTTTTGCTGAGCTGCTTAAGTGGGTAATTTTAGTTAGCAACTTAGCATAGTGTTTTTTTTTTCTTAAGATCTACTCTTGTTATGTTTAGCTTTGTATCTAAATACTTCTCTGGAGGATAGTTTGATCAATTTGATTTTAAATAACTCCTTCTTGTTTTGGCCATTTAGGTATATCAGTACACGTTCTGAGCTTGATTAAATGCTTTTAGTGTTTTACAACTCTTGCAATTTATTGAAGGTACAAAAAAAAATTTTGTATTTGATCAATTTTAGGTAAAGGAGGTTAAAGTGTTAAACCGAGAGGTTTATTACAATTAACACCAAAATTGACCATATGAATGAACTGAATTCTGGTCCCTTTTCTGTTCCAGTGGCTCATGTCATTATCTGACAGTAGGTCCGGAGGTGCTTCGAATATTCTGTGGTTAGTTTGTATTCTAGGTGTTGGTTAGATCAAGTACTTTTAATTACTATGTTCTAAGTACTGTTTTGGCATCATGTAGTTTATTAAAAATGAAGTCCCAATCTAGTGGGAGCTTAAAAATTGTCGACCATAAATTGGTGCCCTTAGGGTGACAGGGAAGTGCAAGTGACTCAGCGAAGCAGAGAAACGGAACTGGGAGTGTCAGCAAAGGTTGCTAATGATGGTTTATTTTGAATGACAAATTGGTGATAATAATTTGTTCTCCAGAGTTCAGAAATAATCACCGGATCACCTCTTGATAATATTTGAGGAGGCAAGAGTACTAGAGTAGTTTATGCCTGTTCTTGCTGCATGGTATGGTGTGTTATTTTGTTGACGGTGGTTGCTGAATTTAGACTAATTTTCCCAGGCAGCATCTTGCGGCCAACTGAGTGGCTGGAACCTGGAAGTGAGACGAACTTCTGGCTGTGGTGAACATTATGTTTCCAGATTGTAAGATGTGCATAATGTCTCGAATCATACAGTAGGCTGACTTTTCTACGTACCTAATACATGTTGGAGAGGAAAAATCATCAAACATTTGTGCATCTTGTGTGAAATTGGAATGAAACAGGGCATTCTTGATAGCTCAGCTTGTAAATGAGATGACATGAGCTGATTTAATCCTTGTGCCTCAGCGTGCTACTGACCATTGAGCTAGCTACTTCAACGCCCATTGAAATTTGTACCACCATTAGGGGGAGGGCAAAATGAAGAAAGGAAGAGAAAAGGGTAAGAGACGGAAGTAGCTTTGGGTGGTGGAAGCCTGGAAGGGAAGTTCAATGTTGGTGGGTATGGGTTTTTCTTTTATTTTATTTTTCTGGTAAAAAACATAATGCCATTTTAGGGTATTCATTATACATATATAATGTTTTGTTATGTCAACGGTGGGGTTGTAGTATATGCTACTTTGCATATGTTTCAGCTCTCTATCAATAAAGTTTTGCAATTTTACTTGGAAAAAAACATAGGGGGTGTAATATTGAAAAGCTTTGGGGAACTCGGTGAAACTGTTAGAACTCTAAGGGGAGGTTTTTGAAATTATTCTATATCCTCTTGAAACAGAGCATTGAATTCTCCTTCTATGGTTTTGGCACAATCTTGACCTTTACCCTGTTGTAACCGACTATCAATCTAAAATGTGGGTTTTGCAATTTTTAGCACTTGCTGAACTTTGCACTCTTTTGCTGCAAATAGGCAAAAAAAATTTCTATCACTCTTTGGTACCAGCAAAGTACAAATACTTGATAATAGCAAATCTTTGGTATGCGTATCAGCTCATGTTTAAAAAACCATTTACACTAGATATAGGGGCAAAATTTTGACAGATTTGATGGTGAAAATGGACTGAAGTATCAAAATTAGACACTTTTTTATTATTGAGGGACTAATTTAAGACTCAAAATAGATGAGAGATCAAAAGTTAATAATTATTTTCCCAAGTATTTGTTATCCCAAACAAATAGAACGAGATGAAAGATTTCAATCTTTTATCGACGAATATTAATGTTTTGTGTAGACTTTCTGGCTCTGTTTACCTATTCTCTATCACACCAAGTCTTCCCTCCGTAGTTGTCACCGGTCTTATAAAACCGAGTGTGGATCTTAAACTCCCTTTCCGCGAAAAAAGTCTCAACCATTGCGGGAGGACTTATTCTACTTGAATTTGGTAGTAGTATATAATATACCATCCCAAAGCCAGAAGACGGCCAGAAGACGAAAGAGTTGTTTATGTCTTGCAAGTCACAAAAGCTAAGCAGAGTTTGTCAAGAAAATTTAGTCCTTGGAAGAGAACCAGCAATGGAGTTTTTACAGCCAATTGGTGCTGCTGTGATGGTTTTGCAAGAGTCAATTAAACTTCTTCCGAAGAATGGGAAGCTCGTAGCCTTAACAATTGTACCAACTCTCCTCTTTTCCTCCCTCTTCTTCTTGGTTTTCAACTTCTCCTACAAATCATTACTTCGCGATATGCTCATGAGGGAGTCTATGTTACCTCTTACCAGCGCCAACAGCGCAGAATTCTCCAGCATTCTCGCCCATCTCAAAGAAGATTTCGGCCTTATGCTGGTTGTTGATCTTACTTTCATTCTTGGCTACTGTATCATCTCCCTCCTGTCGATAATTGCAACAGTTCTAGTATCCACCATTTCGCATACTGAGAGGACATTAAGCAGCAAGGATTTCGCTCTCCTAGTACTTAGATCCTGGAAAAGGCCGTTGATCACTGGGTTTTACACAACTCTTCTTGATATTGGCTATGTATTTTTGGTTCTGTTTGTGGCTAGCCCTGTCATGATGTTCTTTAGTAATTCCATGGAGGAGGTCTTCTTCACCATGTACTTGGTGGGAATTGCTGCCTCGATCGTTTATCTGTACTTATCGATCCCCTGGATTTTGGGCATAGTGACTTCGGTGATTGAAGAAGATTGTTACGGGATTCAGGCACTGGGAAAAGCGGGGGATCTGATTCAGGGAATGAAGATTCAGGGATTCGTTCTGAATATGATGTTTGCTCTGCTCTCTGTGGTTGTATTTCAAGGATTCAGGATTATTAGAGGGCACAAATGGCTAGTGAATCAGACAATTTTCGGATTGTTTCTTGTGAATGTCTCGCGTTTATTAAGACTCTTACAATTTGTGGGGTATACGGTCCTATATTTCCAGTGCAAGAAGAACCATGGTGAAGAGATTGAACTACAAGGGGAAGTTGAGTATACTAAAATATCTTCCACGCCTCTTGCTGATGTTGGTATGCCATAAATACAAGCATGACATGAACAAGACTTGCAACTAGATGAATTGCAACCTAGATTTCATCTGCTGTTGTTGTAATTTTATGTCAGATATTATCTTTGTCATTTAGACATCCCTTGTTGATTTTTACATTTCCTTGCTTTTATGATGCAATTAAGTAGTTGAGGACAGAAAGTTCTGCTCCTTGCTTGGTAACTGGTTTCTATTAACATGGTTACCAAATAAAAAAATATATTTCTAAATCTACTAAATAAATTTTCCAATGTTGCTTGATTTAAAATATGTCAACAATTATGACTGTTTCTGCCTTGACCGCTGAGTATACCGTAAGAAACACAGCAAATAAAATATCTTTAGTCAGGTGCCTGCTGACCATGTCATGGCCATAACATTGCCGACTGCTTATTATATGTTTCTTGACTACTAGATACATCTATGAAGATAGGATGCAGATACAATTAAAGGACCAAAAGCAGAAGCTTTTTGTTGACATTTCACATGTTGCATCTCTGCTGTTGTACTATGGAAGCCCTTGTTTATTTCTTGTGCTTCACTCATTTTGATTCAATCTGCTATGGAATTTATTGCTATATGTCCAGTTATCCTTTTCAATTAACGTGGTACTTGTTTCAGGAAACAGGAAAGCCTACATAGCCTTTTCAGCTTGACAAATAGATTTTGGGATAGTGTTTGTAATTATTCATAATCCTCAAGCTCAACCGCGACGGTAGAAAAATGACACATTTTCTTGTACGTTGTTTAGTTCTAAGAAAATTCAATCTCCTCAACTTGAGCAAAACCAATTGCGTAAACCAAACCATCAAAAAAAAAAAAAAAAAAAGCCTCTAGATATCGCATCACGAAGTAGAGTTTGTTTAATTTATTGAAAAGTGTTCAATGGCTTATGAACGAAAAATTTTTTACTAGGGTTAATTTCACTTGACACCTTTCAATTATACTTTTTTTTTTTCCTGACAAGTAAGTATGTAGATCTGACTAAATCAAGGAGGTGCTATGACGCCATCCTTGAATTTTTATTGCTGCAGGTGGAGTTTGAACCCCCTACCCTGATGGTGGCCACTGAGCTTAGCTCAGTGCTTTTCAATTATACTTGGGTTCTCACTTTAGTTTCTAACTATCTTAATGTGAGGCACGCGTCCTACTTTAAAATTTAAGGATCAAAATGAAAATTTAAATATAGTTGAAGGGTGGAAAATAGAATCACTTTTTTACTATTGTAACTATACTACAGAAATAAGGCCAAGTCAATATGAATTTGCAGGAAAAGTTCTTATTGTCTACAATCTTTAACTGCATGCGGCAACTAATAATTACAACATATACTACATCACGCTCATTTATTAAAGAAAACTCTTCGGGCAAGTTCGAAATCTTAACCTAAGATTGTCAGCAATTGTGGGCTGAGTAGACCAGGTGACAGAAATCCTTTTTTATTTTTCCTTTTTTTCATGTAAAATACTTTGCAATTAAAGACTTTTTTTATTCTGATTACTATTCTTCTATTCTTTATCGTGACTAGGCTCTCTCAATTCGTATCATGGACTTTTAGTACGAAAGCGAGTGTTGGCCCTTTCCGGGATCAAGCCATGTGCCAACTCTCAAGCGTCCATGGAGTGGGGACTTGTTCAACTTAATTCACATATCTCATCTATCTGGTGCAACTTTTACAGAAAAAGCAAATTACAAGTTGCCCAAAAGAACTTGAAACCTTCAAGAGAGCTAGCAATGAAAGTTTTAGAGCCTTTTGTTTCTGCTGCGGTGGTTTTGCGAGACTCAATCAAACTTCTCCCCAAAAATGGGAAGCTCATAGCATTAACCATTACACCTGCTCTTCTTTTCTCCTCCCTCTTCTTCTTGGTTTTCAATTTCTCCTGCAAATCAATGTTAAGCGACATGCTCATGAGGCAGTCCTTAATACCTTTAACCAGCACCAATAGAGCTGATTTCTTGACCATACTCGCCCGTCTCAAAGAAGATTTCGGCCTCTGGCAAGTTGGTGGTGCTACTTTGATTCTTGCCTACTGTATCATCTCCCTCTTCTCCATAATTTCAACCATTCTGGTGTCTGCCATTTCATATACTGAAAGGACATTAAGCACCAAGGATTTTATTTTACTTGTACTGAGATCCTGGAAAAGGGCGTTGATAGTCGGATTTTACGGTACCATAGGTCTTGATTTGGGCTACATTTACTGTCTTTTTTCTTTGGCTCGCCCTGGAAGTTTGTATTTTGGGCATGTTGCCTTCTTTACCTTTTACTTAGCGTGCATTGTTTTCTACAATATCATTTATTTACACACATCGGTCTTCTGGGCTTTGAGCATGGTGATCTCAGTGATGGAAGAAAATTGTTACGGGTTTAAGGCAGTGAAAAAAGCAACAGAACTCATCCAGGGAAAATCGATTCCGGGTTGCATTTTGAATACGATATTTGCCGTGCTATCTGTGATTCTATTTCAAGGGTTCAGGGTTATTAGAGGACACAAATGGTTGGCAAATGAGACATTCTTTTGGTTGTTTCTGGTGAATTTCTCGTGTTTGTTAAGGTTGTTAAATGTTGTGGTGTTCACAGTCCTCTATTTTGAGTGTAAAAAGAACCATGGTGAAGAGACCATTGATCTTCTAGCAGCAGAAGAGTATGCTGAAATATCTTCTATGCCACTTGCTGATGATATGCCATAATTCAGACTTGCAAGGCTGCAATGAAGTTTCCATCAATTGTTGTTGTAATTGTCCTTGTAATTTAGGCATTTTGCGTTCTTCGTACATTTGTACTTAATTTTGTTTTTATTATATAAATCAGAAGTTGAGATATGCAGAGAGATTCCTGCTCATTGCCTCGTAAACTGCTTTTTTGTTAAGCAGGTACTTCCTCCCCACCCCCAACCCCAACGCAATAAAATTTGTACAAGAGACAATCAAACAACAAAATATATCCAGGGAGGCGATGGATTTCTCTAGGTTCTAAGTTCTGTTGCTGATATTCTGGAGGAGTCCATCAAACTTCTTCCTAAAAATGGGAACCTTGTTGCGTTGATCACCACACTTTCCCTGATACTCTTCTCTGCTTCTGTCTTGATCTACAGATTCCCTTCTCTATTTTTGTCAGATGATATGCTTGCCAGGCAATCCTCATTTTCCTCTAGCAGCTCCAACATCTTTGCTGGTATCATGGAAAATTTTCGGCTAATCATGCTTGTCAACGTTTATTTTTGTTCTTTCTACATTTATCATCAGAGTTTTCCTTGAAACTGCAATTGTTATTCTATCAGCGACAAATAACTGTATAGTGGCAAGACCTTCTCTTTGAAGGAATTGTGGCTTCAGATTGAAAGGACGTGGAAACGGCCATTTGTCACAGGATTTTTTACAGCACTATTTGCAATGGGATATTTTTTCCTTGTTTCAGCTCTTGCTAGTCCGATGTTATTGTTTTCTGGGACTTTTATCCTCCCACTTGCAATCTTTCTTGGTGGGGTTGCCTGCATCTTTAGTCTCTACTCATCGGTTGTCTGGCTCATGGCCTTCGTGATTTCTGTGATTGAAGAAAATTGTCATGGAATCAAGGCCTTAGAGAAAGCTGAGGAACTGGTCAAAGGACAAAAGCTACATGGTTTCATTTTAAATTTGGGGTTCAGTCTGCTCTCTTTGACACTATTTCAAGGATTCAGGAGCATAATAGGTGAAAAATGGTTGAATAATCACATGACAGTTTTTTGGCTTCTTGTGTTGAACTGGTCTTGTTTACAAATGATGTTCCAGTTGGTCATGACATGCACTGTGCTGCACTTCCACTGTAAAAAATACCATGGTGAAGAACTTGAAATGCATGGGACCTTCGGCTACAGTAAAGTATCAACTGTACCACAATTCGTCGATATATTACCACAGAGTTAGGAGTTAGGAGGACCTCAAGTTTCTTGAGCGTCAAATGTTGTATTTTGTTTCAGTGAGTAAATTCATTCAGTATTTTACCTCTCGCATTAAATTTTTGCTTTTTTCAGACAACTTACTCTGGATAAGCTCTAGCCTTCGAGTTTCTTTAGTGTCAACTGTTGTATTTTGTTTCTGTGAGTAAATTCATTCAGTGTTCTACTTCTCGCATTTTTTGCATTTTTCTGACAACTGTGGATAGACTCTACTAGCATAACATGTACCTTTGGGGAATAGCCGTAAAATTGAAAATAACTCAAATAGCTGCATCAGGTAAGTCTAAGAACTGTAGACGTGTGCAATTTCTTGATGCAAAAGCCAGTTTAGGTACTTAAGCATATCCCTCGTAACTCATTTTCCCGAGAAACTAAATTCACCCCAAAACAAGAAAGGTCAAAAAAAAAAAAGAAGAGGAAAATTGCTGAAGACAACATTTAAGGAGCGGTAAAATTTTTAAGAAATAAATTGGACGGACAATTCCAGAAGGCTATAACCAGAAGAGTTGCTTCTACTTGCTGGATGAATGAAAACACAGGAACTCATTCCTTATGAACTATGGAAAAAGGCTTTAATGCTTTCACTTTCTTTACTTTGAAAGAGCAACTCTATTTTAATTTAATGAATCTCCTGTAAAAAGAGTAAATTAAAATATCTTTTACAGCTAAAACGTGGATTATTTTTTTGGATAGTATTTTTCTGCCACCTTCCTTTTGTTTTCAGCTTCTTACGTTATGCTCCTTGACATGTATTTATTAGCATTATTGTTTGACAAGTAGCTTTTGGCTTTGGATAACCCATCAAACTAACATGTAAAATTTTTAAATCAATTTTTACCATTAATCTGATATTTTGCTGCTTCGAATTATCAGTAAGACAGACAGAATTTCTCTTGGAAATGATCAAACTCCTACTCGGAGACAAACATTACAAAACACAAACCAAAGATGACGACTATAAATGCTTTACATGTCACCAAGGCATTCCCATGAAAAATCAGATATGGAGAACCTAAAAACTCTAGCCTCCTTTATCAAGAGAGAAGTGCAACCTTCCTGAGGCATCCTAGGAATTTTGAGGGATTGCATCAAGATTACCATTAAAAATGGGAGGCTTGCGCTGTTCATCACATTTGTCATGTTCTCCTATTACTCCCTGTTGGGATTTGCTGATAATATACTTCTGGCGCCTGTATTAACAGATATGGTGGCCAAATCCAAGCTTGTACCCACAGATGTAAGAATTAGCAAAGCTGAGCCGATCTTATACAAAGGCATTATCAAAGATGTTCAATATTTTCTCACTTATGAACTGGTTGCATTGTTCTTCTCGAGCCTCTTGTTAACCTTTTCGCTTGCAGCTTCTGTTCACTCAACATATGAAGCTTATACTGCAAAAGTTTCAAGCTTGAAAGACATGTTATTGGGGACTAGGGGAAGGTTCAAAAGGCCTTGGATCACAATCCTTCTGATGATTCTAATAATCTTGGCAAGTGCAGCCCTCTTATTCATATTCATTGGAGTAACAGGAGTGATGACTGAAGGTCCTCTCTTGACTGTTCTTGACTGCACGCTGCTAATTTTTGGTGTGTGCTACTGTATTTACATCTCTGCTTTGTGGATGCTGAGCCTTGTGGTTTCTGTGATGGAAGAGAATTTGTCTGGACTAAAGGCAATAGACAAAGCCAGCGAGCTCATGAAAGGTAAAAGATTGCAGGGTTGTGTTCTGATCATCTGATGACGCTTTTGATGTTTGCAAGTGGTGCAATCTGTCTGACCTTCTTTATCTTGCCCGCTAACCAAGTGAAATTGGTTGGATCGACAATGAAAATTGCAAAGATTTGCTCATTTTGCTTGATGAAGTTGTCTTTATTTGTGGTGTTCACCCTGTTCTACCATGAATGCAAAAAGAGGCAGCCAGTGGAGGCGAATCTGTATGCTCCAGTCTCTGCTATTGACCAATTTTAGTGGGAAATTTACAGCAACATTTTGGATGAACAATGAATTTGTATTCACTAGTCACCACAGTTTGAATAATGATGTTGCCATCATGTGAACGTACCCAAAAAAAAAAAAAAAAAGAACAGTAGTTCTTATCCATTTCTGGAATCACTGTACGGTATTGCTTAGTGCTTTCAAATTACTAGTTTGTTCAATCTCCACTGCAACATATAAACTTGCCTTTCTCCAAAAGTTAAACGTTACTTTTTGCCTTTTCATTTTATTGTCCTTTGAGCATTAGTAACTCAGAGAAATTTTTTTTTTTTTAAAGATTAAAAAATATTGACAGATTGACAATCATGATTAAGTGAAAGCAACGCATTTGGATCTTGCAGCTAAATTACCAATAATGTTTCTCCCCTTTCTTAATTCTTGCTTTTTCTTCTTTATCTTTTGCCTTTTTTTTAGGGTAAATTACCTTTTACCCTCATGTGATTTGGTACTTTATCACGTAACCCTTCTATGGTTTAAAAACCTATATATAACTCGCTCATAATTTGGATTAAAATATCGTTACTAGTTTTTTCATTAAAACTAGCGGTCAAAAGTACAAAGTCAAGTCAAACTAATAAACTTGGCAAATTCACACTTTTAATATTTGAAAACAAATTCTCTCTCTCTCTCTCTCTCTCTCTCTCTCTCTCTCTCTCTCTCTCTCTCTCTCTCGGAAGAGAAGAGATGATTTTGAAAACTTATACTTTGGTTTAGAAAATCTTAATTTTCACCAAATACAAAAGAGATGAAAGGGAAATAAAAAAATAACAAAATTGAAGTGAAATATAAAACAAATAAATAAGAAACAAAAAACTCCAAATATTTTTTGACTACATATATCATTATAGGTTTTTAAACCAAAACTTTAATGGTATTTTCTAGTTCTTATTTATCTATTTTTTATTTCAATTTTTTCTTTTTTATGTTTGGAGAAAAAAAAAGAGTTAATAAAACGATATATTTGTAAATTTAGTAGTTTGATTTTGACTTTTTACTAATTGCGATAGTTTTAACGGAAAAACTAATAGTAATACATTAACTCAAATCATGAAAGAATTATATATAAATTTTTAATTCACAAGAGATATGTAGTAAAGTATCATATTACAGAAAAGTAAAAAGTAATTTTCTTATTATTATTTATTTAAACCTTGCCTCCAACCTGTCAAGTCCTAAATGGCTCAGTGGTGGCCTGGTGGTTAGTATTTGTTTGTTGATTGATTCGTCAGTTAAACTGCAAAAAGCCGGTGCAAGGTGCATATCGTGACTTGTGCGATATTTATACTAATTCTATTTGATCAGGTCAAACTTTCCCTCTCCGGACAGGCTGCATGGTCCTATTTTCTGTCATCACGACAAATGCTGCTGCATTCACTACTGGTTCAAAATGTCAATGCCGCTAATCCAACGTCTTAATCAGGTGATTGTAACCATACATGTCACGCGTAAAAATATGTGGGCAAGGAGGACTCTTAAAAAATACGCAGAATTTGTATAATTTCTTTGGAACTCATTCTTTGCAACCAAAATTATCAACACTGTACCCAAGAAAATACAAGGCAAAAATATTTCTTCAAAACTAAGAGTCCAAAATAGAATTTAACCTTAAATTATGGAGCAAAATAATTTGTAAAAGTTTCAACGCATAATCTTGTCATAAGGCCAAGGCGACTTTAGTCTAATGTCGAGGTTGAGATTTCATAAATTAGAGATCTTAAATTCTTATCGTAGTTATTAAACCTAGCTCGAACTGGCAATTGATCTGGTTGGTCCAATGACCTAGGCATCAGATTGAACCGAGTCTCTAATTTGACCGAACAAAGAATTGACCTGATCAAATACGAATAAATCCATTTGACCCAATGGCTCAACTGGAAATCCATCCAATTTTTCAATTTACGCAGTTTATTCATTTATTTTTTTACAATTGTAAATTTATATATATATATATACACACACACACACACACACTTTTAATAAGATTCATAAATTGGATCTTCATTTAAATGTGCATAAGACTTTACCACTTGCTTAATTTTTATTTGATAATTAAATATTTTTTAATCAACTTGTTTACTTTTTTATTTTACAATTAATCCTTTTAATTTTAGACTGACAATATTTGAGTGCTAGAAAATTATTTTTTTTAAACTAAAAGTAAAATAATGAAAAAATTATGCTATATTTTTTAAAACAAGTGATATAATTTTGTTTTATACTTGACTATATTGTTTATTTATATAAAAGTACAATAAAATGAAATTAAATCTCCTATTAATTTCTATATATTCATTATATATCTTTCTAAGTGCAATTATTAGTATCTAAAAACACTTTATTGTATATTTTATTTATATTAAAATTACTATTTATATTTATAAATATTAAATTAATGATCACTGGTTCAACCAGTGATCCATTGACTTAATCTTTTTGCCGAATTTCTTGTCGGGTTGGGTTTAATAACTTATAATCTCTCCTACCATTTATTATGATGTCATGTATGAGGTTAATTGAGAAGAAAAAAATTTAATTGAAAAACGTGTTGGGGATGTAAACAAGTAACTTTTTGCAAATAATGTGATGTCCAAACAAATAATCTTGCTATTTCAGCAATCTTGCATCTTCAAACAGTGATGCTTCCAAGGCACCGGAGGATTGTCCTTCGTTTGAACGGCCACTTAATTACCATGAAGGATGGTGTACATTGTCTATGTGGATTAGGTTTACAGATCTATTGGACCGGAGAATTCAAACGTTTCTAAAAGAAAAGATCAATAGAAGAAATTGCATTCGTTGTGCATTTGACTGTTACTAAACATACCCTTGAATCGGTCAATTATTAGATTTTTCTGTGCAAACAGGAACCAACAACTAATCTTCAAATTGTGAATGTGTCAATAACAGGAGCACTTCTTCTTTAAGGCCTAGCAGAGACTACCCTACTAACTTTTTGATTTTCTTCGGGGTTGGGGGGGTTGGATAGTTAAGTCTCCAAATTTGCCTCAAGAGTTATCGGCTTTTGATGTTAAATCTGGGATTAGATTTAATTAACTAATTTCAAAAGTCTGGAAAAAAAAAAGACAGGAGCAATTTACTGAGCTTTGAGCACTCAATATTGTAATATTATGTGACTTTCAGCAATGAACTAGATGTTAATGGTCTTCTTGGCTGTGCTTATTATTTTTTATTTTATTTTATTCGTGCTCATGTGTAATTCAGACGAATATCCAATCAAAAGCATACACGTAAAACTAACTCATTTTCTCAAAATGATTCCTAAAAGGATTCTTAACATGTTATTGCACACACGGCCACGAGTCAAGTCTACTCGCGAAAATCATCTTTGGATTAACAGTCCCCAGATCTGTTTTGTCATTTGTGCGTATCATATCATCTGTGAATTGGTCACTATCATATTAATTACTGTGTTTTCAATTTCTTAGTTTGTTATCTAGAAAGCTCCGTTCAAAGAAAAATGTAAACCAAATTACAAGCCAGTCAAGTTGCCTCCAAATAAGGTTGTTTAATTATGTAATCTGAAACGGACAGCCTTTGGCAAACGCTGCCGTGTGGACCAAAAAAGACAAACATATCAATTTCCATGAAATTAATGTTGGACAAATCTCCCGGAAATTCCAGCGTTGACCTGAGCTTTTTCTCCAAGAAATAGATGGGAACAAAGTCTTTAACTATGGTAACTGATACCACAGAAGGCTTATCTTTGTTTATGATCGGAAAAGGCTTACCTTAGTTAAGAAGGCTTTACCATAGTCACACATTGAATCCTTTAAAATCATATTATCCCTCTATAAAACAGCTTCACACATCTGATATCCCCATAACTCTCCCAAAGGAATACCAATGGAGAAAAAGTTGAATAGAGTAGTGCTGTACATCAAGAGAGAATACCAGCCTTCTTTGCTAAAGGAAGCCTTCAAGGTCACCGTAAAAAATGGGAGGCTCGTGCTTTTTATCACCTTCATCATGTTTTCCTACTATTCCCTGATGAAATTTGCCGATCATCTTGTTTTAGAACCTGTGTTATCGAGCTTTGTGGCCAACTCCATGCCCCTGCCCAAAAATGGTTCATTCACGGATTCTGATCTGGCCTTATACAAACCATTTCTCAAAGATCTGCGATTTATCCTCGCTTTCAAATTCGTGGAATGGGCTTTCTTGTGTGTTGTTCTGATGTTTTCAGTTGCAGCTTCTGTGCATTCAACATATGAAGCCCATACTGCGAAACAGTTGGGCCTAAAGGATATGTTGTGTGGTCTGAGGGGAAAAATCAGAAGGCCTTTGAAGACGAGTATTTGGATGATTATCATCAGCTTGGCAAGTGCAGCACTGTTGTTCTTTACAGTCGGAGTTGTTGGAGTCATGACTGAAGGTTCTGTTACACATTATCTGAGTTTGGCAGTGCTGGTTTTTGCTGCTCTCTATTATGTCGGAGTCTTTTCTCTGTGGATGCTCAGCCTTGTGGTTTCCGTGCTGGAAGAAAACTTCTCTGGATTGAAGGCGATCTACCAAGCCAATGAGCTGATGAAGGGCAAAAAGCTGAAGGGTTTTGGTCTAATGGTGCTTTTGATATTAATCAGTGCAGCGATCCATAAGACCTTTGCTTGCTTGGCATCTCTCGCCATGGCTGAGAAAGTAGCATTCGTTGGTGGGGCAATCAGTACTCTGAAGATTTGGCCATACTGCCTGATGAAACTGTTCGTTTTTGCGGTGTATACCCTGTTTTACCATGAATTGAAGCAGAAGCAGCAGGCGGAGGAGAACGCAGCCCTGTATACTCCTATCTCTGCTATTGCAGAATTTTAGTGTGAAATTTGCAGCCAGATCTACTTCTTGTCTTGTCGATGTACCAAACCGTTTGTATGAATAATGACTCAGTCGTTGTGTAATACTATTACCAGCAAAAGAGGGCTGTATTTGTGTATTGCTTCGTGCCTGGTATTTGTTGTTTCGATCTCTGT